CGTGGTTGGGGGATTTGATCCCCTGGTTCTGGTAGAGGGTAAATGGGAAAGCACCCCTTAACCACCAAACCACCAGAGGGAATATGTTTGGTTTGAAAAAGACGGGTTCCACTAGTTTAGATTAATTTTATTCCATTTGCCAGGAATTCCATCTTTTTTTCCAAACCGTTCACATAGCCTATGGTAGACTAAGCATGGAAGAGCGTGATTCTATTATTTCCTGTGTTCCCTGTCTTGTGGGCCAATTGACTTCCAGATGCGGTTTCAGGGATCGGGAGGTTGGGCCCTTCAGCGGTGCCCTTGTGCACCTTTTTTCTGCGTCAACCACCCAAAAAGTGCATGTTCATATATACAAATGTATACATGTATATCGGAGGCGCTTGCCTTTAAAACCAAGCACAGGCACAATTGTTTCCCCATGTACGGAGGCCTGGTTAAATCGGGGAGGTACTCGCCAAACTGGGGGGGGGGGGCGTATCCTTCCATATAGGTCGAACACACCTAAGGGACACTCTACTTGTCCAGCAACCATTTGGGGTTTCTCAAAGTAGGTTAACAACAAATAGCTGTGGCTCAAAAATTAAACAGGAGGGGTTACGCGGGTTTTGGTCCATGTTTCTACTTACCAGGGTAACCCATTTTGGTACCAGTTTTCTGAGCCACAGCCAAATAGCATGCAAATGTTGTCTGGTTTCCCTTTAGATACTTTAGATACCATCCAACACGGGCCCACGGTTTTGAGAGACACACATTTGGCGACAGAATTCCTTACCTGGGCTTGTCTCTTATTTGTTTTAAAGGGACCCCCCCGCCAGAAATCGGTGGTTTTCCTTGTGGTTTCCTTTCAATTGCCACCAACAAAGGGTACCCTCAACAAAGAAAGACCCATTTAATTGATTTCCTCCGAAGATATGAATTGCTTGAGCAAGAGGCGATCAGGCAGACCGCATGCTCGAATCTTGTGTCTACATCGCTGTTTCCGCTTCCTAATAAGGGGCGTTTTTTGCAAGGGAAGCTGAAGCCATGATCACGAATACCAGAAACAAGCACAAATTTGGGGTATGTCTACCCCCGAAATCGTTCAGTAATGGTTTCAACCTAGCCGACCCCCAAAAACAAGACCAGACAAGACACACACACACACACACCATCACCCAGCTTAAAATCTACTCGCCCTAGCTACCGGATGTGAAGTGAGACCTACTGGCCAACTTCATGCAACGAGGTTCTTCGAGTTGCAAGAGGGCAAGATCCGCTGGTGGAGGCGTCGCGTCGCGCCTCGAACTGTGAGTCGTTTCCGGTTGGTTTCCTGTGCGCTGTTGCTTGTTTACTTGAATGTCTTTGTTTGGTTCTGTTGATTCTTAGTGGGCTACAACAACCCGACGAGTGTTTTGCTCGCATGCCCTTGAGTTTCCGGAAAGATTCCGTCAGCCAAAATTATATCCTGGTTGATCGAATGGGAGAAACCAGAAAGCACTTTAGGGCTGGCGGTTGACCTTCTTCTCCTGGCTGAAAACAAGCCTCCAGCGGAAATCGCCCAAACACCAACGTTCGGACGGTGGTTGCCGTTGTTCAAACCAGGTGCCTCATTTGTTCCATCCGAGCTCTGGAAAATCGAGATGGGAAAATCCTTGGAGCAACATCGACCAGGTTTATTTGACAAACTGTCACCTGGGGCCTCCTCCAGAATGCGTTCAGTTTGCCATGTGCTTGAAAATGCGACGTCTATATGGCCTATATGATATAGCCTATATGGGTGTTTCCAAGCTCGATATGCATATGTCGACAAAGTGGGGCCCTGTCCTAGTTGAAAGATGCTTGCAATCTGTGGATCCAGGCGCTCTGGTCCTATGCGCAAGTTGGGCAGTTTGGGTTTGGGCATCCCTTTGCTTGCCCGCATGGGTGTGTGATTCGTTTGAGGGAACCCTTTCGAAGAGAACCGGCATTGGCTGGCTCCTGCGATTTTGCCAGCATTTGGATTTGATTGCAACTATATCAGTTGGATTGCAATACTTGGGGGTCCCGGATTTTGACGTATACCCACCTGATGGGAATTGTGCCATATACTTTCACAGTAACGTCATGCGGATGCACACGCGCTCGCGCTCTCGCAGGCCATCCTTCAAGGATCAGCTGACTCAGCCACGGCCTCCCAAGGCGCAAGAGCCGTTGAGTACTTGAGCGCACATTGGCCATGGTTCCCCTACCCGGTTGAATGGGGCTTATAGTAAGGGCGAAGTTACAACCTTTTCTTCATAGCCATCTTGGTCAAAAGTCAATGAATGGGCTTTGGGCGCGGTTCAATCAAGCTTGCATCTTATTTGGTTGTAGTAAGCTTGATTACAAGCTACCAAAGGCATGGTTGTATGAGGAATAGCCATGGTTGGAACCCAGCAAAGTTTCTAGTCTGATCATGCTTCTGGATTTTTAGAGCCGCTTTCTGTGATACCAAGCGAAGGATCATTCAAGTGAGACCCTAATCCTGGCGCACTTTGTATCGCGGAAAGGATATTTTCCGCAACCATATTCCGTTTTGATCCTGGGTTCCCCCGAAACAACCAAAACCTGGTTGAGGCCATTTCGAGTCGTTCATTGTTTCCAGTTTTGGAAACCAGGCCTTTCTCCAATGGGTCGTTTCTGTGGAAAGACTTGGATTTCTGGTTCGACTGGGGAAGATTTCGCATTGGTTCGGGGGTGCTCCGGACATGGTTCCCGAATCATTTGTCTGAAGGAGTTCGAATACCCCAAACCACCAAACCACCAATTCAAGCCACTAAGTATTTGGTGGAAAGCGGTGGTTTCCCATTTACCCAGAGGTTCAAATACTCAAACCACCAACCAACACCACCAATTAATCGATAATTGTCTGAAATTTAGGGGCAACCTAGCTTGTTCAAAAGCTAATCCCCAATGATCGGCGGTTTACGGATTGTGCGGCTTACGGATTAGATTATGCGGATTGCGGATTGTGGATTACGGGGTGCACAGATTTTCCATGCTGAAAACATACGGTTTTGACCCAAAGTTTGAAGCGCGGATTGCGGATTAAGAAGATTTCCAAACAATTCAAGGATTAAGCGGGTTGCGGATTGCGATTAGGCCTCCAGGATTTCGAACAGGCTAGGCAACTGAAACACCTCCTCCACTCAAGGCCGCTTTTGGAGGAAAATGGTCTACCGGCTAGTCAGATCTGAGCAAGAAGCAGTCCTCCGAACACCGCCCGTGCCCTTCCAATGTTGGGAGGGTAAACAAAAAGTTGCATGGGCATCTTAATCGATTCTACCCCGTTTATTTCCCCCCGTCCTTTGAAGGGACATGGGCATGGCTGGCATCTTCAGCGAAGAGCCTAGCAAACGGACGTCAGAGGAGGGGGAGAATGTTCGGGAAAGGAAAGCCATCACTTTGGGGTCCCGTGTATAGGGGAGAGCTTACCCCTCCTTGAAGAGCCTTGGTGGATGGCTTGAAAGGGTGCCAGCAGCCTCCATATCGGTGTGCCAGGAGGAAAACCATGCGTAAGCGGAAAGCTTGGCACCGTGTATGTCCTGATGTGACCTTCTGCTTGTTCAGGGCCAAAGAAGAGAATGCTTTGAAGTTAAAGGCCGCGCCTGCCCCCCGAAAAGATGGGGCCGCTGAATGCAGTTTCTTTTGCTGGTTTATCCATCCCAGAGCAGGCACACCATTGTGACATTGACATACTTCCATATTGGCGTGTCTTTCTTTTAGGGCATCCTGTTCTGGTTGGTTTTAGTGGGAAGCCACTAGGGAAACCGATATGTGTTGGCCCCCCCCCAAAGAAAACAACGCACCCACATATGTCTTGGTGAAAATCACCCCGTTTGGCGGGGGCCGTCCCCCAAATAGGTGCAGAAATCCGCCCTGTTCTTTGCGTGTCTTGTTTCTTTCCGGGTCTCCTTTCAGGTGTTGGTCATGAGCTTTGTGACGAGTCGAAGAAAGGCTTGTCGCAGCCTGTGGGAAGGGGCTTCATGTCGCAGGTCTGTGCGGGTGAGACGCCCCTCAGCTTGATTGCAGATGCTTCCAACCCAACTGACTTGGTGCCCCTTTGCGTTTTCGTTTGTTTCATCGGAAATATAAATCGAAAGGGAGAGCCTTCCCAGCTTTGGGGGGGATCTGGCGGCCTCGCAGGTGATCCGAAACAAGGAGTCGGGGCCTTAGGCCGTCAACAGGATTGGTTGATATTGGTTGCACGTCGCCCGCTGCACAACATGGCAGGGTTCCAAGCGCTGCTTAGACTGCTTCCTAATATCAGAAGCATGCTCCCTGTTTGAATGATGATTACATTGACAAGGTACTCTCCATGCCGAAGGTTGACAAAAGGCGAATCCACTGTGGGGACCCCTCCCTCGTTTTGTAAAAGCATCGCGCGTTGGCCCTGTTTCAGGGGCCCCGCAAATATCACCCCAACCTGTTTGCCGGCCACGGAACGTTTGGAGATGGAACCAGCAAGCTGCTCTCTGGCTTGGTTCTGTTGGTGGCTTTGTGCATCGCCCTTGGGGTTCATTTCTATGGCGCCGTGCTCTTCGGACAATTCTGAGAGGATTTATTCTGTTTCGGCCCAAATCTCTGGCGCCCAAATTCATCTCGGACGCTGCCCCCACCGAAGCGCCCCCCCCTCCGCCCCCTGCAAGGCATTGGACATGTTGGCCTTGAATCAACGTGGCATGTACCTGTTGGCCATGACACGTGCATGACTCCAACTCACCCACCTGCCCAAGCACAAAGCTGGTAAGCGACCAAGAACAAAGGCTTGCAGACTCGTTTGGCCACTACCCCCTGTGTTTGGAAGTACAGCCGATCCGCGGCGCCCTCAATCCCAAAACCTACTTGTCAAGGTTAAGCATATGGCTTGGCGAACATTGACCCTAAACCTAGGACTGAAATCCCGGCCACCACCGTCATTTTGGTCAAGGGCCTTGGGGTCTCTTGTGTACAGGAACCAGCCAGCCTGCATGTTCAACTGCAAAACCTGCAGGACCACAGCCATGGTTGTGGACAACTTTGGACCAATCTGTAGGATAGCACGCAAGTGAGGCAGGGACGGATCCTACTTAGGCATCACAGATTTCGGGTGGTATTCCTCAACCATACTCCCTCATGGGCCGTTTTAGTAGTAGGCGGTTCTGCTACCTGGTTTCATCATTGTAGTACGGCCTCTACCATTATGAGCTCTTGGTACCAACAGTCAATGGGTTTGGGTGGTTTTCCACATGGCCAAGATGAGTTGCAACTCTCAACCCCTGGGATTTGAACAAAATCACAGATCCCTTTCACAAGGGCTTTCTGCCGCCATGGTAGGACTTCTGTGTGACCGAATCGCCCCTCAGACTCGCTCGACCTTTGGGAAATAAATGTGCTTTTCCACCTTTTGCTCAGAGGGGTACATTTGGGTGTTCTGTTTTCGGATAACCCTTTTTTGGTTAGCCAAAACAAAAAGGAAATCCAAAAGGGAGAACCTTGTTTGGTCGGTCTTAAAGGAAGACCAAAAGCAGCAGGGACACCAGGGACACCTTTTTGGGTCGGGTTTAAGGGGCCACCAATAGAAAACACGCCCAGAGCCCGCTTGCAGCGACCCAGGCCCCGGCCGAAGCCGGTACGCTGCCTGGACCTCACGCAGCTGCGCCGGGTGACGCGCACGCAGGCGGCGCCTGGTCTTTTTTGGGGGGGTTGTTGTTTTTATTTGCTGGTGCTCATGGGAATGAGTTGGAATGACCCCAGAAACCATCCCTTCTGGTTTCTCTTTGAGGTGATATCTGAGTTCATTCCCTCATTCCCTACTGAGCACCAGCAAGTTTTCTCGGATTCAAATCAAGGCACCGGGAAAGGAGACTCGGTCCTCCAGGAAAAGAAGTAGTGTGCACTGTGGGTTTCCGTTTGCAGCTTCCCTCCAATTGTTTGCTTGGGTTGGTGGTTTGGTGGTTTCGGCCCATATACCCTACAAGAACCAGGGATTCAAGTCCCCAAACCACCAACCCAAACCATTCAGGATTACCTGAGGCGAGTTCGTGGATGCATGGCGTTTCCGGGGGGAGGGAGGGAGACGAATGCGGGAGGCCCAAGAGAGAGAGACAGAGAGAGAGAGAGACAGAGAGAGAGAGACAGAGAGAGAGAGACAGAGAGAGAGAGAGAGAGAGAGACAGAGAGAGAGAGAGAGACAGAGAGAGAGAGAGACAGAGAGAGAGAGACAGAGAGAGAGAGACAGAGAGAGAGAGAGAGAGACAGAGAGAGAGAGACAGAGAGAGAGAGACAGAGAGAGAGAGAGAGAGAGAGACAGAGAGAGAGAGAGACAGAGAGAGAGAGAGAGAGAGAGAGAGACAGAGAGAGAGAGACAGAGAGAGAGAGAGAGAGA